TCCGGAAAACGGGGAGCTCTAGTGCTCTGGGCCCCACAGACAGGTTGGGGGCTGAGGGAGCCTCTGGGGCTGGGCTGCAGCGCTCAGCTTCCTCCTCGCGTCTGGAAGGGACCTCCACTCAGGTGAGTGGGGTGAGGGGTGGGGGACCAGGCCCTGCTAGTCCAGGAGAACACCCTCCTCCGTCCGTCTCTCCACAGGCCAAGGAGCCCCGTCTTGCCAGAATTACCCCCACCCCTTCCCGGAAGGTGCTAGAGCCCTCTGTCCTGTGAGTACCAAGGGCCCGGGCCCTGCTCGGGTGGGAGGCAGGTCTGGCTTCTAGCCTTGTCAGCGTGATCTCGAGCACCCCTGTCTGCTGTCTGGGTGTGGTTCTGCCCCCTCCCCCCCGCCTGCCCTGTCTCAGTTTCTCTTTGGCTACATCAAGTGCACAATGAAATGTATAAGACCATGGTGACCTGGCGTCCTGTTGCCTCTCTACCTGGCTTCACCTGTCCCTTTTCCAACACTGGGGCATATTGCTGCCCCAGGGCCTTTGCTCCGGCTTGCCCCCCCTCCTACCTGCGTGTCTTGTTCCCTTCTCTGGGAGGCCCCCCAAGGCCACTGCTCAGATTGCAGGCCTGTCTGCATCCGTCCCCGGTCCTTGCTGGGTTTCTCTTTCCCAGCGTGCTTTCCCCTCCTGACGTGTATTGTGACGCTTATCACATCACAGCTTTTTATGGTTATTGTTTCTTTTGCATCCTTTCTGCTCAGATTCGACTCACGCAGCAGAAGTCATTTGTTGTGATTGCTCACGGCTGTCTCTCGGGGGGGGCCTGCTGCCCACTGTGAGCCTGAGTAACCTTTGCTAAATGAATGAACCCACACAGGTGTGAGGACTCCAGGCCTCCTCCCTTGGATAGTTGCACTGCTCCCTCCAGGACTCCAGAACCTGGATCGCCAGGGAAGCCAGCCGTCCCTGCAGCCTCCACAGCGCCCACAGTGGACTCCCGGGACCGCCGGAGGTAAAGAGGCCCTCGGAAATTGTCTCCCCCACTGCAACAACTACCTTACCCAGGAGGCCACGGGGCTCTGGGTGGGAGCTCCCAAGGGAACATTTGCCCCAGGGTCTACTGGGAGTTGAAGTCCGCTTGCAGAACTTGCCTCTCCTAAGAGTGTCAGCCATGGGATGGGGACAGACCCCAAAGGAGCCCTCCCTGAGGTCAGGGCCCTTTATGCAGGTCCTACCAGATGCCCGTGCGCGATGAGGAATCCGAATCTCAGCGGAAAGCTCGCTCTCGCCTCATGCGCCAGTCTCGGAGGTCCACACAGGTGTGGGGGGGTGGGCTGGGGGCCTGGACTCCCGGGTCTGAGGGTGGAGGGGCTGGGGGTCTGAAGGGGCTGTGGCCCGAGCCCTGGGGCCTTGACTATGCCCTCTCTCTGCAGGGTGTGACTCTGACTGACCTGAAGGAAGCAGAGAAGGTGGCAGGGAAGGCCCTGGAGCCAGAGAAGTCCTGCCCACAGAGCCTGGTGAGAGGCGGTGGGGCCAGGGGACCGGGCAGTGGGGGGTACAGGAAGCTCTCGTCCTCTGACCCCTCTGCCCTCTCCCATAGGACTCGCCCCGGCCCCTCCGAGTCTCTGGGATGGAGAACTCTGACGGCCCTACCCAGAGAGGTGAGGTCTGCTCTCTGGGAGGTCGTCCTGCTGAGATCCCCGAACCCCGCCCCCCTGCAGTCTTCCCGTTTTCCTGGAGTCTTGGGCCCAGGGACCCTGACACCACAGAGAGGGGGTTCCTGATTCTTGCCCCTCCCCCAGTAGAGGCGCCTGACGGGCAGGGTCAGGGACCACAGGCCGCCAGGGAGCACCGCAGAGTTGGCAAGGAGCGGAGAGGGCCTGCGGAGGTGAGGGGTGGGCCCAAGTGGGGTGAGCTGAAGTCGTGGGGGGGGCCTCAGCAGGGGTGGGGGGCGGGGGAGTAAGGGCCCACCCCCTCGGGCATCTGGCTGACCCCCACCCGGCCTACAGGGGGAGGAGGCGGAACCAGCGGACATCAGCCCAGAGTCCAGGTACAGGGTGGGCAGGGCAGGGTCTGGGCTGGCCCTTGGCTGCAGGGCTCACCCCCTGACGCCATGCCCTGTCTCCACCCTAGTACTCCCCAGGCCGGCCCTTCAACCCGAAGGCGGAGGGACCTCAAGCCAGAACCCCAGCCAGAAGTGGAAGAGCCTGACGGAGGCTTCAGGAAGGTTCGCCACCCCACCCCAGGGTCGGTGCCGTTAACCAGCCCCACAAGCCTGCCTTTACACACCTGCCCTACTGCCCGGCAGCCCGCCCACTCCCACAGTGCGACCTCACGGCTTCACTTGACCTCACCTGTGCACAGTTGGCCCCTCCCCACAAACGTGTGGGAGGCAGCGAGGGCCTGACCGCTTGTCCCTCCTTCCGGTGCCCCCAGCTCTACACAGAGCTGCGTACTGAAAACGAGAGACTTCGTGAGGCCTTGACTGAAACCACATTGAAGCTGGCACAGCTCAAGGTGGAGCTGGAGCGCACCACACAGGTGAGGGTGTGGAGGCTCTGCAGGTGGCCCTGGCGTCTCCGTGCTTGCGGGGTGCGTGGGCGCGGGGCGGGGGGGCTCTCAGGGCCTATCAGTGTGGGAGCTGGAGCAGTGAGGGGAGGGGTCAGAGCTGGGCTCCGCCTTCAGGTGGGTGGGGCCTGAGCAAGGAGAGGTGGGAGGTGGGCAGGCCGCTGAACTCCCAAGAGAAGGGACTGGGGGTGCCGGGGCAGCCAGAATCCGGGGCTGTCCTCCCCGTTTTCCTTCTGGTCTCCCCTTCCTGGCCATTGCCATTCCGTTGGTTCTCTGACCCCTGAGCTTTCTGTTCCCACCAGAGGCAGGAGCGCTTTGCCGAGAGGCCGGCCCTTCTGGAGCTGGAGAGATTCGTGAGTGGGGCAGCCGGGGTGGGGCAGCCTTACAGCCCTCTGCAGGTGTGAATGGAGGGGCCACACTGACCCTCTAACCTGGCCCTTGGACCTTTCCCCACCCTTCTCAGCCCTGCTCAGCCTCTGGCCCTCCCCAACCCCCAGTCTCTTGCCCTCACCCTCCCCTATTTATTGCAGGAGCGCAGGGCCCTGGAGAGAAAGGCCGCTGAGCTGGAGGAGGAGCTGAAGGTGAATGATCATGGGCACTGTGGGCCGGGGGCTCAGCCTGCCCGGGGCCGCCAGCTGACCCCGTCCCGTCGTCCCACAGGCCCTGTCCGACCTCCGGGCCGACAACCAGCGACTCAAGGATGAGAATGCAGCCCTGATCCGCGTCATCAGCAAACTCTCCAAGTGACTCCGGAGGACTTGCCCCCGCACCCGCATTTATACAGCTGCTTCTGCCACACGCACCCCTTTCCCCGCGTGAACACGAGTGACAGGGCTCCTGGGGGGGTCTGAGAAGCCATAGCCTCCCCTCAGGAGCTCCAGACTGGGAGGGGAAGGCAGAGTCCCCAGGAGCCAAGGGGGGGCCACCCAAGGCCAGGATGGAGGCGGGAGGCCGAGCCAGGTAGGGGGACAGGAATGGTGTGAACCGTTGCCAAGGGGTACCAGGGCTGGAGGCGGGACCACGAAGGAACCGAGGACCAGGAAGCGCCAGGACGAGGAGCCAGGACCAGAGTGGCCGCCCGGAGGTCCCCTCTCACGTGTGACGCCACCCAGTCACCCCTCCCGCTGCTGAACAGGGATCCGAGAATGTGCCAAGTGTCCTGCCGGCCGTGGCCGGGCGGGCCTGTATATAGGGGTCCGTGTGCAATAGGGGGGGGACGTCTTCTATTTTTTGCTGCCCCCTCCCCGGCATGGTCTGGGGCAGGGGGGGAAGGTATTTTCGAGACAAAGCACAGGCACCACAAATAAAAGTCGTGAAGTTGCCACTCGGTGACTGCGTCCCTGGCTGGAGGCGGGGCGCTGCTCCCTCACTCGGCTGTGAGTGTCAGAGCGTGCGGGTGCTGTGCCCACGGAGGTAGGTGTGACCACCCACGGGGGCGGGGGGGCGGCTTCAGGAAGAGCCAGCCAGAGCTGAGGCCCCGACCAGGGCTGAGGCCCCTACCAGGGCTGACGTGGTCACAAGCAGGGTGGCTGTGTCGTGCTGGGGAGCTCGGATCTTGTCATCTCTGCCTTTGAAACAGAGTTAAAATCTGAGTAATTCGAGTAGGAAAACCTGGAATTTGACTTGCGAAAGAATAGGAAGCTGTGACAGTGTGAGCTCTTCAGTCCTTCAGGGTGACAGTTGGCTGGATGTGGGGTATTCAGTCTTCCATTGACTCATTCATTCTTGGTCGTATTCAACACGCCAGGCCCTGTTCTACCTGTTGCTGGACACAGTAGTGAATGGAAAAGGCAAAGACCTGAAATCTCTTAGGAGGAGAGGCATAAGGTGTCAGACAATAAAATGAGTGCATTTCAGGAGGTGGTGCTGTGGAGAAAAAGCAGGGAAGGGGGTAGGGAGGCTGGTGTGTGTATGCATGGAAGGACATGCACACGTGTGTTTTGTTCAGGGTGGTCAGAGTCGGCCTCACTGAGAGGCTGGCACAGGCAGGTACTTGAGAGCATCAGAGAATGAGCCATGTTGGTATTTGAGGAAAGCGTCTTCCAGGTGTTGAGAAGAGCAGCATATGCAAAGGCCCTGGGGTAGAAGCGTACCTGACATGTTGAAGCACAGGAGGATGCTGGTGTGGCTGGTGTGGGGAGTAGTAGGGGATGGGGTTGGAGAGGTGATTAATGGTGGGCCGTGGTAAGGACTTGAGCTGTGAGGTGGGACCTGCATTTGAACAGGATGCTCTGGTTGCTGCATTGAGGACAGTTGTGTGGGGCCAGGGGGTTGATGGTGGTGGTGGCAGTGGCAGTGAGGGACAGAAACAGGAAGACCAGCCCGTTTTGCTCATGCGGGTCAGTTGTCTGGCTTAAGCCCCATCCCTATTACAACCCCTCCTGCCTGGACTTCCTGAAGGTGTCCCCTCCAGTATTTCCAGAATCATTCCATTGAGCAGCCGAGATGATGACAAGGTGAGGATTTATTGAGGAGGGAAAACTGTGGTTGGATCTGATTGCATCTCTGGTTCCTCTTAGAAGTGAAGGTTGGGGCACCAGATAAGAGGTTGAAGGGTTAGACACCCATGGGGGCAGAGGGTGTTTCCAGGAGGAAAGAATGGTGTGAACTGGGCCAGCCACAGGCCATCTGGTGACACAGGTGGAAGCTGAGCTCCGAGGGAGCCCTCAGCAGGAATTGTGTCGGGAACAGGAGGAGCCGTGGGCCGTCTGCCCGAAGCTGGAGGAACGTCCAGTCTGAACCTGGCTGGCGGGAAGGAAAAGGAGCTGGCTGTGATCGAGGAGGTAGGACGCTTCCTTTTGAGCTGTCACCTCTTCAAGTGGCCAGGAAGCCTGTGGCACCTTCATGAGGCTGCCACTTCTCCGTGGCTGGACCGCTGGCAGGAGGCGGGGAGCAGTGGGAAAGTGGATGCTGGGAGGCTGACCTGGGGGTTGAGGGCAGCTTCCTTCCCCAGCGTGAGTCATTGATCTGGCTTTGGAAGGCCAGATCGCCAAGGCAGAGAGAGAATTGCTGTTCCTGCAGCAGGAACCAGCAGATGCAAAACCCCAGTGGTTGAAGAGGTTTGGGGAATGTTTGGAGAAGGGCAGGACCAGAGTGCATGTAAGAATGAGGAAGAGATGAGGTTGAAGAGGTGGGTAGGGTCTAAACCACTTGGGGCCTCAAATACCAGGCTGTAGGGCTAAGAGGGCAGTGGGGAGCCAGAGAAAGATTGTGAGCAAGCGATGGGCTGGGATACTGAGTGTTCCGAAGATCCTTCTGGAGTGAACTGGAGGGCTGGAGGTCAGGAAGAAGCCTGGGTTGGGGCTCCAGGTAAGAAGAGGATTCAGAGAAAGAAACCAAAGAAGGCGGGGACGTTTCCTAGATGAAGCTGTAGGTGGGGTGAGGGGCAGGTTCCTGAGCTTCCGGTAGCTGGATAGAGAAGGGACAACAGTTGACACGGCCTGAGGAGGAGGCTGTTTATAGACTGGGCAGCACATCACAATATGCAGGGCTCCTGAGCGTACCCTCTGCCGAGGTGCCCAGTGAGCATAGTCTACACTGTCTCTCTGCCCTGCCCCCTTCCCGCTCCCTGCCAGGCTGCGAGCGCTTGCTCAGACTCCAGGAAGAATGGTCCATTTCATCCACTGGAATGAGGAAAAACCAGGTCCGCGATCCTTCAAGAGGGAGTCCACTTCCCTTGGTGGGGGGTCTGCAGAGTCCGTTGATCTTCCACAGGGCACGGGGAACCCCGCTGTCTGGATACAGCGGAGGGCGGGGAAGGGTCAAATGACCTCTGTTTGTATCTCGCCTTCCACCTTCCTCTTTTGCTTCTCCATCACCGCCTGCAGCTCTGACACTTTCTCTTTGTCCTGGAGGGAGGGATGAAAGTCAGGACTCTGGCGTCAGAGCCCTGGGTGCCCTTCCCAGTGCTGTTCCGGGACGGGCAGCAGGCTCACCTCCAGCAGCGCACGCTGCACCATGATTTGGCTGTACACACGGGCTCCCTCTTCGGGGCTCACCGCTTTGAACTCCACCTTCTGCAGCGAGAAGATCTGCGCGCCTGTCAGCACACCCAGCGCGTCTACCGTCCTGAACAGGGGCAGCAGGGGCGTGGTCAGCCCTGCCAACTAATCAGAGCTCAAGCTCCCGAAGCCCTGCCAATCTCTTTACGCTCTGCCAACCCTTTGTCCAATCAACAGCATTCACCCACCAATCACAGCGTGCCATGGACGGGCGGGGCACCTTAAGTCTAGGAAGGGTAGGACTTCCCTGTACACTCCAATTGGAGCTTTGGAAAGCATATCAATCACAATCTGTCATTCGATGTTGCAGCCGGACCCTCGCTTTGGACCAATCCTAGTTCCCCATGGTCTGCCGCACCCCACTCTAGGCCAATCAGAACACTCTGCCTCTAGGGTCCAATTCTCAGGCCTTCCCAGCTGGCATCCACCACTCACCCGGAGCTAAAGCCCTTGGCCTGAAGCCAGGCGCGGACCTCTGAGGCGTTGGAGCGTGTGCTGAGCTGCGGCTCTGGGGCGCGGGGCCCCAGGGCTGTGCGGCTGGGGCCCGAGCGGCCCTGAGCCAGGCGCGCCTGCAGCTCCTCATTGACACTGACCATCTGGCAGAATTTCTCTGCAGGCAGGAAACCGGGAGGAAGGGCGGACTCAGGGAGAAAGGTCTTCAGGATGGGCCGGAATCCATCTACTCTTTCTGAGCCTCGGTTTCCCTACCTGGAAGGCGAGACCAGGGACCATTCTCCTGAGGGGGTCTCCCCACCAACTCACCCTTCTCGCTGGGGTCCAAGTTGTTGAGGCTGTCACAGCTGTCCCAGTGGGGCCGAGCAGGGGCGGGGGCCGCAGCTGGGGCAGGGGCCGGTGGAGGAGGGGGAGTGCTATTCTCCTAGAGAGGACGGAGGGGAGAGAACCTCGATCAGAGACAGGACTCCAAGTCCCAGCCCCTCCTTACGGAGATTTCTGAACCCCCAAGCACCTCCTCTGCCAGTACGCTAGTCTTCACATACCCCTCATTCCCAGGACCCAGGATTTTCCCTCAAAACCCGGGAGTCTGCCCTGGCTCACCAGGGTGCGGGCAGGACTCTGGCTCCGGCCCCCCTGGGGCCCCGGGTGAGGTGACAGGATATTATAAGGTACATATCCTTCCTGCCCTCGCTGGTCCCGAACCTTCCACCACTTGCGCTGGTCATCCAGAACCTGGGGGGAGGTAAGAGGAGAGGGTTGAGAGCCCGTGCCTGCAGTTAGGGTTGGGTGCACTCCAGCCCCGCAGCCCCACACCCCTCTAACCTCTAACACGTCCTGATGCTTGACGGATAGCTCGCTGCTGTTGCGGGCCTGGAAGTCATAATTACACAGGACCCACTTCCCTGCTGCCTCCGGCTCTGGCTGGGGCTCAGCTTCTGGCTCCGGATCTTGGTGACTAAGGAGAAAGAGGAGGGTTGAGGATGGGAGGCAGCCAGTCCCACTGCTCTGGGCTGTAGGGTGCTGGTGTGAGCTGGAGTTAGAGCCAAGCAGAGGCCAAGGCAGGATGCCAAGTTAGTATTGTTAATAGAGACTTAACATCAGAATAACAGCTGGAATAGATTTTACTTCTTATGTGCCTGGCAAGGGGCTGTAAGCACATGCTCTGTGTACTAGTCTCACCTCCACTTTATAGATGAGAACAGTCAGGCTAAGAAGGGTAAAATATCCCAAATCACACAACTGGGGACCAATGCTATTTGTGGAGCATCTCCTATGTACTGGGCTCATACGTAATGATAATGCACAATCAAAATAAAAACAATAGTTAACACTGAAATAGCACTATATGCCAGGCACTGTTGTTCAAAGTCTGCTGTGTACATTAGCTGATATAATTCTTGAGACGACCCCTGGCAGAACCGTGAATTTGGATACCCCTTTCTCTTCCTCCTCCCAGGGACCATATTATTATTATTTTCACTTAACAGGCGAGGTAGCAGGGGAACAGTGATGTAAAGTGACCCACTGATGCCGAGGTCTCAGAACAAGGGGCATAGCTGGCATGGGACCTAGGCAGGCTGGTCCCAGACTCCATGTCCTGAGCAGTTCTGCAGTCCTATGCATGCAGCTGGATGTGAGCCTTAGTTCTGCCATGACCTTGAACCCTGAACTGAAAACCTACACAAACTCATGGACTTCTCACTTCTCCAGGAAGGGATCATTATGCCCATTTTTTCCTCCAAAAATCTTGAGGCTCAGAGATGAGTTTAAAGCTGAGGGTGTCTGAAGCACCGCGAGACCAGGCAGCTGGGGGAAGGGAAGTGGGGTTTGGGCTCTGCCCACCCCCAGTAAGTAGGGACCTCAGCTCAGATCAGGCCTACCTGTGCAAGGGAGAGGGGGGGTCTTCAGGGCCGTGGCGCCCCCTGTGTGGGGCCGGCAGCTCCCAGCATGCTGTCCTTGCTGAGATCCCCTGCCCAGGCCCTTACCCAGACCCCCCTTCTGCTCCTCCAGCCTCGCTGCTTGGTTTGTTCTCATCCCACGTGGCTTCCGTCTCGTCTGCCCCCAACTTGCCCAGGGACCCTAGAGTCCTGGCCCCTCTATCCCCTTCTTCCTCCAGGACCCAAGAGTCTGTACTCCTACTGCTTGTTGGACTCAGGCACTTGAACCCCCTGGTTCTTTCCTCTCCCAGAGATCCAGGAGTCCAGGTCTTAAGCTGTACTTTCTTTGCCCTTTTAGCTCTTAAAGGCTCCTAGTCTGACACCCAGCAGGGACTGAGACAATTGCTGCAAAACCTTGGGAAAGTGAGGGCCTGGCCTCTCAGCCTTTACCTCTCCCAGGGGCCCAGAGGTACTTCCACTTTCTAACTTTCCCAGAAACTTGCCCCTCAGCCCTTGAAGTCCCAAGCTGGCTTCTCTGGGTGGCCAAGGCCCCATATATCAGACTTGAGCTCCTCTTCAAAACCCAAATGTTCAATTCCCAGCCTCTTCCCTCCAACACCCAGGGTTCTGTCCCAGTACAGACCCAGGCAGGGAGTTTCCCAGATCCTGGGAAACCAAAATGCCTTCTTCTAGCCTTTTGGGGGGGTCTCAAGACTTTACCCACACCCAGCCCCCTCCTCCTTCAGACCCTGGAATCTGGACCTCTATCTCCCTCCTCCCTCAGACCCAGAAGTCTGGGCCCGCTCCCTCCCTCCCTGCTTCTCCCCCCTCTCCCAACCCCGCCCCCCGGCCTGGTCACCACCTCACCCACCTGCGAAGAGCCGGGAAGACAGAAGGAAAAGGAAAAAGAAAAAGGAGGGGCAGAGTCAGCGCCGGGAGCCCCCACGACGCACTCCCCTGTACCCCATGCCAACCCCCTGGGGCTTACACTCACCCATTGACAGCGATCTGGGGGGCGCTTTGCTGCAAGAAACAAGGCAGCGGGTCAGAGGGAGGGCAGCCTCCTCCAGGACTCCCTGCCCTGCCACCTGTGGGAGCCTGCTGCCCCCTCCAGGCCCGAGGCTTACCTGCCTGCGCCGCCTCTCGTGCTGCAGCTGCTTCTCCACTGGGTCCTCCCAGGGGCGGCCCTGCGGGTCAGTGGCGGGGGGCTCCCAGCCGCTGTAGAACTCCGGGACGTATGGGGTTCCCTCCTCCAGGGGCAACTCCAGCCTGCAGCCAAGGACAGGCCAAGGGCTCAGGGACCCTGGTCGGCCTGACTTAGCCTTGTCAGTAACTTCACTTTTCCCCTTTCCCTAAACCTCACTCTAACCCAGCTATTCTAACCTCCCCTCTTTTTGCCAAGCCCTGCCCCTGACTCTAAGCTCCGCACCCTATGACATCAATTATTTCTAAATACACTGATTTCAACTAATGCTTGCCCCAGCCTCTGAATCCAAACTGGGTTTCTAGCTACACGCATATCTCCCTGGCTCTGCCCCTACCCCCTTGAGGTTCTCTGCCTCCAAGAACATAGACTCCGCCCCCTTTCTAAAACCACAGGTTGAACCTTTCCTAAACCCCGCCCCTTTTATAGCTCCACCCTGTAGTCCGGCCTTTTGTTCCTGCTGGATTGGCTGATACGATTTTAAGTTTCTCACGCTGTCTGGCCTTTCCCCCAATCAGATGCTGGCATTTGTCCTAGGTTCCACCCTTTCTTCATTGGCCCCATCCTCCTGTCTGTGTCCCGCTCTAACCCTTCCTTTCCAATCACTGCCTCTCAGCCCCTTCTGCCCTCCAATCACCACGCCCCTGCCTCCCGGCCCCGCCCCTCAATAACCACGCCCCTTACCCCGGGCGGGTCCAAGAGTCCCCCAGCGAGGTCCAGAGCGCATTTTCACTTGGGGTGACATTGTCCCTCAGTAGTGCTACGGCCTCAGACGTCAGGTGCGGCCGCCGCACGCTGCTCGCCAGCTGGGGTCCGCCCGACATCTCCACAATCTGCCGGGGGGGGGGCAGGAATGGGCAAGCCATCACACCCTCTAGAAGTGGAACCCCGATTCCTCTTGCTGCAGGGGGCACAAGAGGGCCGAGGGGGATGGTCTCACCACGTGCAGAGGTCCGAAGAGGAAGTGCAGCAGCTCTGGGGAGGAGGGGTTGGCGATGTTGCCGCGCAGCCGCGCCTGCGGAGCCGGGGAGGGGCTGGCATTAGTGCGCGGACGGGTCAGGTGTGACACCTCCCCCTCCCCTGATGCCCCCCCCCCCCTTGCTGGACGTGTCCTCACCAGCAGGCTGAAGGCGTACTTGATTTTCTGAAGCACGTCGGTGTATTCCGCCTCGCTGGGCGGCTTAGCCCGCAGCGTCAGGAGGCCATCTGTGGGCAAGGGGTAGGCAAAGGGACAGGGGACCGAGAGACAGTGTCAGACAGAGGGGGAGCCCCAGAGAGCTCGTGATGAGGAGTCAAATGGGCAGGGGATGCGAGGGGGAGACCCCAGAGAGAGGGAGGCTATTTAGGAATGACCAGGGGACAGAGTTGTTTAGGATCCACCCGGTGGCGCCCCTCACCCCCGGCCTCTCGGCGCCGGGCTCTGCGGCCGCGCTCCCGGTGCTCCAGCACTCTGGTCGCCTCCGCTGACTTCTGCAGCTTCGATACGAAGCTCTCCACGTCGTCGAACACGTGGTTCAGGATGTCCTGCAGGACAGAGCCGGGGGACGCGTGAGGCCCCTGGGTCCCGGACCCTCATCACTCTAGTCAGAGCCTAAGTCAAGAGACTTAGAGGCCCTTGGCCCAGCCCAGGCCACACCTTCTGATTCCTTATTCGGTCTCCGCAGGCCACGCCCCCACACGTGTCCCCGCCCCTCGACATCTGGCTCACACCCACAGTCGGTCCCGCCCCCCAGCCTAGCCCCGCCCCTGACGTCTGGCTCCGCCCCGCTCACCACGTCCCGTTCAGCTTGAAGAGTGAGCAGGTCCTGGCCTTGGGGACCCAGGTCCGGGGAGGCCGGGTCAGTGCTCCTGGAAGTCTCCGCCCCGCCCTGCCTCGGCGCCGTGTCTGCCTCAGGGATGGGCTCTGTCTGGGGTCCCCTTCGGCCCGTGGCCGACTCCGCCGGGCCGATGGCTGCGCGGACCGACGGGTGGCGCTGCAAGGGCGGGGTCTCCGGGGTGGGCGAGGGGCGGCGCAGCAGTTCCTCCTGCGTGGCCCTGCGGGGGAAGAAGGGAACCTGAGGCTGGGTCCCCCAAGGAGTCCATGCACGGGAAACATTTCGGGGCTTAAAACACAGTTGCCCCAAAGGGTCGCACTTCTCTGGAGGAAAATAGGCCAAGAGAGGAGAAAATGGGGACCAGAACCAGGAAAAGTAGGGTTCTGGAGAGAGGTCACACTTGTTTGGAAGGTACACGCAAGACACGAAGGGGTTTTGTTCGACTCCATTCAAAATTCGTTCTGCTCTAGGCTAGTGGTGACAGCCCATTTCTCGGATGCAGAGAATAGAGACCCCACCGGTCCCCTCGTCTCCCCGGCCTCCAGCCCAGCCTCCTTACTTGAGCGCCGCTGCCCGGCGATCCCCAAGGCCAGAGCGGTAGCTGTGCAGAGCCCCCTGGATGTCCTCGTGGATGAGCTCCGCCTGCCAATCACACCGTCAGGCCACGCCCCCACCCCACCCGCTGCCTTTCCCGGGACGCGAGAGGGACGGACTCAGTCCCAGACCACATCCTCGTTCACCCCTGTGGACCACGCACGTTCACGCACTAGACTCACAGCTGTGCCCTAAATCTGTCAGACCTAGGCTATGCCCCCACCCACGGAGGCCCCACTCAGTGGGCTCCCTACCCCTAGACCGTGTTCACCCCATCCCAGTTCTGGCTGTCCTCCAGGCCCCCTCTCCCGTGTTCTGTCCGAGCCCTTGACCGTGAGTCCAACCTGCGCTCAAAGCCCCCTCGCAGCTATAACTTTTCTCTAGGCCACGCCCCTCGGCTGGAGCTGACCCAGCCTTCACTCCAGGCCCCGCCCCTTCCCAGCTCAGTCCGGACCTGCACCCAATCCCAGCCCCTTCCTCCCCCGTGACCCCTGACCCTGCTTGCTCACCCCGAGACGGAGGCCCTGGAAGAAGTGCACGTCGGGCTGCAAACGCTCTGGCTCCTGGCACACCAGCAGCAGCAGCGAGCGGCTCCGGCCCGGCGGCATCACCACGTCGCAGCGCACGATGGCGCCCAGGGGGTACGACTCCAGCTCCTCCTGCGGGGGCAGGACAGCAGGTAAACTGAGGCTCGGAAGCGCTGCCACTACTACATGAGGACAGCAGTGCCACCAGGTGCAAGCACTGCGAAGGGCAACCCCGCGACATCCACCGTTTAACAGGGCTCACGAAGGAGGACCCTCCTCCTTCGCCAAAGTTCCCAGAAGAAGGACACAGAAGCCAAGATTCACACTGAGATTCCCGAAGTCCCTGGGGCCAAGCTCTGCAGGGCCGCCTGGTCCAGCCTTGCCTTCCACCCACGTGCCCCCTGGCACCTTGGAGACGGGGTCCAACAAAGTGACGTGATCGGGAGATATTCGCAGCAGCATCTCCTGGGCCCAGACGCGGCCCTGGCTGTCCATGACAGACAGTTTGCGCGAGGCGTCCTCCACGGTGTGCACGCCATCCTCCTCGCCCAGGCAGAATGTCACCAGGTGCTGGCACAGGCCACGGAGAAAGCAGTGAGTCCCAAGATAATGCTGGGGGTGGGGGCTGGGACTCAGGACACCCTAAAATCTGCCTTGCAGCTTGTATAACTAACCACACCTCCTCCAGGAAGCCTTCCCTGATCACTCGCTCCACCTAGGGCCGCCTCCTCTCGGTGCCCTTTGTTTCTCTTTTATCAGAGTGATGAGCACCTGGGTCTGTCTTCCCACGGAGACTGGAGGCTCCTTGAAGGCAAGGTCTGGATTATATCTAGTCCCTTCAATGCATCTCTACCTGCATCAGAGCACTGGGCACCCTTCCAAGTACCTCTGGACCTTGTCTGAACCTTACTCACCCAGGACTGCATCTGATTTGTGCCTGTGGCCACATTGTCCAGCTCAAGAGCTGGTCCAGAGGGCAAGTGGGCAGATTCGAGTGGAACTGAGTTTTGCCATGATGCCTGTGTCTGAGGCAAGGTGGAGGAAGTCCACTTTGCAGGTGAGCAAACTGAATCCCCCAAGTTCTTTCCACTTGGAAGCCCAACTGCCTTCCACAGCCCCGTCTCTCTTTGTCCCAGAAGGCCCCCCCTGTGGCAGCGCAGACCCCAGACTCACGTTGACTAGATATTGAGACACGTCGGCCATCACCATAGTGGAGTACCTCTTCCTCTGCTCTGTGTGTGGTTGGGGGTGGGGTGGGGAGATGGATCAGAGGCCTTGGCCCCCAGCCCCTCCTCCCTCAGACCCAGGAGTCCAGCCCCCAACCCCTCCTCCCTCAGACCCAGGGGTCCAGGCCCTCAGGTCTTTAGTTCTTTTTTTCTTTTTTTTTTTTTACTTAAGACCGTTTCTCTTGGCCTGGGGTTTCTTTGCCCCAAAACTCACCATAAATGGCCTTAGCACTTGGTTTGGAGGCAGCTTCTGGGCTGCTGAAGGAAAAGAGGGGTGAGAGGGACTGTGGGAATTTGGGGCCCATCATGGGGGCGTCAAATGCTAAGAAGAGCGGTGACTTTATTTGAGGGCACTGGGGAGCCATAGAGTGTTCTGAGCAGAGGAGGAGAGGGCAGAGCTGGACTTTAGTAGGGCAAGCGAGGTGATGGTACTGGGCAGTGGTAGGGAGAGTTGTTTCTATGGACACAGACCTGGGTTCAAATCCCCTGGGAGCTTCTGCCTTGCCCTAAGACCCAGGGTAGGAGACTTCATCTCTCCTGCCTCAGTTTCCCTCTCTGTAACACAGGGGTTAGTTACCCTATAGCTTCCATCTGGTGGGGTTCTTGGGTGAATTCAATGAGGTGATGCAGTTGAAGGGTTCTGCAGCCCCAGTAACTGTTATTGTCATTATTATAATGCTAAGGGCTTAGCACATAGTTGTTGCTTAATAAATGGATTTTTTGTACAATAGCGTTAGTATTTGGAGGAGATAGAGTTTATCTTCGTCCCCTTCCATCCCCATGGGCCAGGCTCTTCCCAGCTAAATCCTCCTTTGTCTCCTAACTTTGACCTCCTCTTTAAGGTCACCTCCAAGAAGAATTCTTTTATAGTTGATTTTAGAGAGAGGGGAAGGGAGGGAGAAAGGGAGGGAGAGAAACATCCACGTGAAAGAGAAACACCAATTGGTTGCCTCTTGTACGCACTCCAACTGGAGACTGAACCAACATCCCAGGTATGTGCTCTGACCAGGAATCGAACCTGCGACCTTTCAGTTTATGGGACAACGCTCCAACCAACTGAACCATGCTGGCCAGGGCTCCAAGAATTCCTGAGTCTTCATTTTCATAGAAATAACTCAGGCTCAGAACCCAAGTGGGCTCAGGAATGAGGGATGAGCCCTGGCTGGTGTGGCTCAGTGGATTGAGCACCAGCCCTTGAGCCAAGGGGTCACTGGTTCGATTCCCAGTCAGGGTACATGCCTGGCTTGCAGGCCAGGTCCCCAGTAGGGGGTGCATGAGAGGCAACCACATATGGTGTTTCTCTCCCTCTCTTTCTCCCTCCCTTCCCCTCTCTCCAAAAATAAAATAAATAAAATCTTTAAAATAAAGAAAAAGGAATAAGGGATGAGAAACCCTTTAGTCAAAGCTATACTCCTTATCTTGCTGCTGTCAGTCAGCTGTCTCCACAATTTGATTACCTCTGGGCTGGAGAACTCACTACCTCACATCTCCCATGCAGCTATTCGCATGTATCTGACATTCCTCCCTGCTCACTCTAGGAGACCTGAGCCTTCATTATAAACACCCCAGACTTCTTAGCAAAAGGTCAATATTTAATAAGATAGCGATAATAGCAATAGCAGTTTCTGTGAGTTGAGTCTCTGCTGTTAGTCAGGTTCTCCGCTAAGTCTTGTATGTGCGTTATCCCAACAAGCCCTTAAACTTGGGGGGGGGACTGAGGCTCAGAGAGGTGACGTCCTTTGGCCAGGGTCACACCACGGCTGAGTGGAGGTGTCTAAATTTGAACCCAGGTCTGCCTGCGCTGGAGCAGAGCTCTAACTACAGGTTGGACTGGGAGGGAGGTGGCTCCTTCGCAATGTCCAGACCTCGGCTGCTGCAAATGCCCTGTGAGGGTGGGTGAGAGGTTGGGCTGGGGTGGGGGGGCCTGGTGGACAGGGGACACTTACCCGGTGGTGGTGCTCATGGTTTCAGAGTGGGCAGCTCTTGCCACGGGGAGGTGCCCTGTGAGGCAGTAAAAAGGTGAGGGCCTCACCTGCCCTGTGGAACCTATGATTCCTGGCTCAGCCCTCTTTCCTTCAGACCCAGGGGTCCAGACCCCCAGCCTCTCCTCCCTCTGACCCGGGAGTCCAGGCCCCCAGCCCCTCCTCTTTCATACCTAGTACCGTTTCCCAAACCTGTCAGAAATCCATGCATTCAACCCCCTCATCTATGTGGTCCCCATGTTTCTCCTCCACCCAGGGCCCTGTCTCCCAGCCTCACCTTCTCAGGGGCCCAGTCCAGGCTCCAAGGTGCTTACCCCTAAGAACCTGGGGTCCCTCTGACCACTGGTCTCCTCAGAGACCCACTCATTCACTTCCTTAGTCTCTATGGTTCTATGTTCTTCCTTTAGCTATGGGTGGCCCACTTTTCAGCCCTTACCTCTTCGACACTCAGGAGTTTGGGTCCCTCCGCCTTTGCTGAACAGAGACCCCTGCTCCTCCTCCCCTACACCCAGGTGTTCCCACCTTCCAGCCCCTCCTGGGTCCCCTCCTCACCTGCCCTGTCAGGTTCAGTCAGAGGAGAGGCCTGCTCTGCTCTCCCTTCCAGACCCAGGGCCCCTCCTTCCTGCTCCCTCCCTGGGCTGCCCCGCCTCCACATACCTGAGCACTCACCTGGCACTGCCTGGCTGGAGTGGCCCCTGGGCGGGGCTGGCAGGAAGACCCAGGGCGGGGACTGGGCTAGGAACCCGGGTTGTGTGCTTATAACAACAAAACAATAACAGTATCAGTCCTCTGAAGTCACCGCTGGTTCGCCTCTCAAACACCCCCTTCAATTCTCCTAATACCTCTGTGCAGTCGGAAGTTTGATTGTTGCCGCTTGTTCGTGGTGCCGGAGAGGGGCCATCGACGTGTCGAAGGGGGCTAGGCTTCTCTCCCCGGGGCTAGCGTCCTTCCCTCTGAGTGCACACCTGTGGACAGTCCACGTCTCCACCTGTTCCCTCGACCCCCGCCCCTCCCCTCCCTTCTTGCCTCCTTTGGAAATTTCCCTTCGTAAATCGACATTGAGGATGGCTCTGGGCCCCAGGTGGCACGTGCAGTGAGCCCATGAGAAGGCAGACACAGATGTCAAAGCTCAGACCCTGGAGAGCAGGGAGGTGGACGGGCCCAGTCTTAGTCTTTCTCAGCAGTGACCCCCACCTGGTTTCCACGGCCACCATCTCTCACCTGCTCCCTTCCTTCTCCCCATCTGTCTAGTCCCGATGTCTAAGTCATAGACGCTGTCTAAGTGGCCCGATGTCTAAGTCAGTCAGCCCATGTCGCATCTCTGCTCAAAATCTTTCATTGGCTCCCCTTTCTCCGAATAAAAGCCGAGTCTGCAGGGTGTTCAGGGACATTATTCTAACCTCTTCTTTCTGCCCTTCCTCCACACCAGCCTCCTGCTGCCCCCTGAGACCACCCTGACCCCATCCTGCCTCAGGGCCTTTGCACCTGCTGTTTTCTGTTCCCGGAATGCAGTTTCCTTAGCTAGTAGCCTCACCTCCTTCGGGTCACACCTGGATGTCACCTTCTCAGACAGGCCCCTGACACCCTGTTCAAAATCACAGCATCTCTTCCTCTCCTGTCCTTCCTCATCTCTTCCCTCAGTCTGTACTTTATTTTTTCTTCAGAATGTTTATCACCTCCTAACACACCATATTACCTGTTCATTTTCTAAAATCCTTACTGGAGGATAATATTCATTGATTTTTGAGAGAGAGAGAGAGAAGAGAGAAACATCAGTCAGTTGCCTGCCATACATGCCCTGACTGGGGATTGAACCTGCAACCTTCTGGTGCATAGGATGACGCTCTCACCAACGGAGCCACCTGGCCAGGGCTCATTGCATTATTGCTTCAGCGTTTCGTTTAACACATGTGGGCCCCACAGTCAGTGCTGACTGAGGCTGGAAGCAGGAGAAGAAGGAGATGAAAGAACAGAGACCAGAGAGATGATGAGAAGAGCCCAGGGGCGTGGGTTTGGGTCCTGACAGCCATTTCATAATTTCGGTCGTTCTTTTTTGTGCGCTTCAGGTCCTTTTCTGAGTACGTTATAGGGTGTGTATGGATAACCCCCACGACAATCTGTGAAATGGGTCCAATGAACACCGTTCATACGTGGGGAAACGAAGGCCAGTACACGTGAAGTCATCTGTGCAGCTCATACATGAAGCAGACGTGTTGGTTGAACCCCGGGCCATGCAGTGTAGACCTGTCTTCTTTTGGTGCTGGCTCCTTTCTAGCTGTGTGACCCTGGGGAAATTACTTCACCTCTCTGTGCCCCAGCCCCCTAAACATGGGGATCTCAGCATTGGGAGGGTTAACTGAGATTATAAAGCTTTTTTCAGCTTAATAATGGCTCAAGACGACACAATAGATGACTGTTACGGTGGCAGAGATGACGGCCTTTCTTTCCACTTGTGCTGGAATGGAGGGCCGTGGAAGCCCAGCTGAGAGGGGCAGGGCAGGCTTCCTGGAGGAGGAGGGGCGGCCGGAGCGGAACCTGAAGGGCCAGTTTGGCAGCTCAAAGTGGCCTAGAGTCCGGAGGAGGAGTGGAAGGAGGAGTGTTCCGGGCCAGGGCACTCGCTGAGCCTTGGAGAGGAGGGCCAGGCAGCCAGGGAGCTGGGCTCACCTGACTGCTGTGCAGCAGGGAGGGGGGTCGGTGTGTCATGGCTCCGGCTTCTGTCGCTCTGAGTCCCTGTCACATCCACATGACAAATGCTCTCTGGGCTCGGCCTTGCCTGGGTTGGGGTCCGTGGGAAGGAGCAGACCCCTCACCTGCTGTGAGGCAGACGGGGCGGGGCGGGATTGGCATTGCATTGAGAGAGGAGCTGACAGAGGCTCCCAGTGGGGAGGCCACTAGCCCAAGGTCGGGGTGCTCTGGGGTCACGAACCCACATTTAGCTGAGCCCAGGCCCCTGTCTTCACATGCAGGTGAAGAACTGTCCTCTTAGAGGTTGGTTGGTAGGAGTCAGGGGCCTAGACTCCTGGGTCTGAGAGAGGAGGGGTTGGGGGTCTGGACCCCTGGGTCTGAGGGAGGAGGGGTTGGGGGTCTGGCCCCCTGGGTCTGAGGGGGCAGGTCCTGGGGGTCTGGACCCCTGGGTCTGAGGAAGGGGACTGTTTCTGAGCAGGCATTTCTTGCCCCCACCCCCAGGTGTCTGGAGCAGCAGGTGAGACCGAAACCCTGAGTCTCCACCCTGGTTCCAGGGCCCAGGGACACCTTCCTTGTTCTCTGGCTGCAGAGGAGGCCCCTCCCTCCCGCCAAACCACAGCGAGTGGTTCCCGAATTCCAGGGGCGCTCCCACCCTTGTGCAGCCTGACTCAGTAAGTCTCAGGTGGAGCCAGCAACTCCCACCTTGGTGACTCTCCAGGGGGAACCCCAGCTAGTATTTATTCTCTGGGTTGGGGAGCCCAGGAACTAAATGGAATTGTCCACGGGGGATTCATAAGGCAAGCACCCTTGTCTGTCAGATGTGAAAGCACCCCCCACGTCTTTTCTCAATGCACACCCCTCTTTTCTCAATGCACACCCCTCCCCCACCTATGGTAGAATGAAACATTTTTTCCAATTAAAAAAAAACACCTCACCTGAGAATATATTTTTTATTCTTTTTTAAAAGATATTTTATTGATGATGCCATTACAGTTGTCCTATTTCCCCCTTTATTCCCCTACACCCTGCACACCCCTCCCCCACCATTCCCCCCTTTGGTTTTTGTCCATGTGTCTCAAGTTCTTTAGATTCTATATTTCCCATACTATTCTTGCCCTCCCCCCGTCTATCTTCTACCTGCCATCTATGCTACTTATTTTCTGTACCTTCTCCCCCTTCTCCTTCTTCCCTCCCCTGTTGCTAACCCTCTATGTGATCTTCGTTTCTATGGTTCTGCTCCTGATCTAGCTGTCCTCTTAGTTTGCTTTTGTTTTAGGTATGGTTGTTAATAACTGTGAGTTTGCTATCCTTTCACTGTTCATATTTTTTATCTTCTTTTTCTTAGGTAAGTCCCTTTAACATTTCATATAATAAGGGCTTGGTGATGATGAACTCCTTGAACTTGACCTTATCCGAGAAGCACTTTATCTGCCCTTCCATTCTAAATGAAAGTTTTGCTGGATAGAGTAACCTTGGATGTAGGTCCTTGCCTTTCATGACTTGGAATACTTCTTTCCAGCCCCTTCTTGCCTGTAAGGTCTCTTTTGAGAAGTCTGCTGACAGTCTGATGGGGACTCCTTTGTAGGTGACTATCCCCTTATGTCTTGCTGCTTCTAGGATTCTCTCTTTCATTTTAATCTTGGCTAATGTAATGATGATGTGCTTTGGTGTGTTCCTTCTTGGGTCCAACTTCTTTGGGACTCTCTGAGCTTCCTGGATTTCCTGGAAGTCTATTTCCTTTGCCAGATTGGGGAAGTTCTCCTTTATTATTTTTTCAAATAAGTTTTCCACTCATGGCTGTTCCTTTTCCCCTTCTGGTACCCCTATAATTTGGATGTTGGAATGTTTAAAGATGTCCTGGAGGTTTCTAAGCCTCTCCTTGTATTTTGAATTCTTGTTTCTTCATTCTTTTCTGTTTGGTCATTTTTTTTCTTCCTTCTGGTTCACTCTCTTGATTTGAGTCCCAGTTTCCTTTTCATCACTATTGGTTTTCTGTGCATTTCCATTCATTTCAATTAGTTTAGCCTTCATATGTTTCTCTAATTTGTCTCTAAAATCAACCAGTTCTATGAGCATCCTGATCACCAGTGTTTTGAACTGTGCATTAGAAAGGTTAGCTATCTCTTGGTCGCTTAGATTTATGGGCTCTGGGGCTTTGAGCTGTTCTTCTTGAGACATAATGTTTTGGACTGTTCGCACCTGTTATGTATGAGGGGCGGAGCCTTACGTGTTCACCAGGGCGGGGCTACCCAGGTCGCTGGGTTGTGACGCTGTATGTGGGGGCGGGGTTGGAGAGGGGCAATGGCGTTTGTTCTGCTCTTTCTCAGATTTCTGTTCCCTCTGCCACTTTCTGCAAGCAAATCTGGTGCTGGTTCCCTGGTGTGTGGGCCTGTGCACCCTACAGGACCCTGTGGGTCTCTCCAACGAACTCTCCCCGCACCTCGGCCCCAAAAGTCTTTCCAGTTGGTGCTTTTAGGCTCTAATTCCTGTTGCTGGGGCCCTGGCCTGAGCGGTCTGTCTCACTGCTCACTCCTTTGCCTGGTTTATCTGCGTGCAAATGTGTGACCGTGGTCAGCCAGTCACCTTGCGCCCTCACTGGGTCCGCCCTTCACCACCCCATGCCTGGGTTCCACCAACCACTGCCTGTGCTCCTGGGTCCATCAGGCTGATCTTTCCTGCCCGACCCCACTCCACTGCTGACTCCATCCCTCTTACTGGTCTGGATGAGTGGTTTGTTGTTGTCAGACTTCTGTACAGTTCAATTTTCTGTGTTTTGGCTGCATTTTTGTTACTAAAACTTTGTTGTCTTTAAACTTGGTTGTGCGAGGAGGCACAATGTTTCCACCTATGTCTCCATCTTGGCTGAAAGTCCCTCACCTGAGAATATTTTAAATTGATTTTATTTTATTTTATTTTTTAAAAGATTTTATTTATTTATCTTTAGAGGGGAAAGGAAG